TGATTGATAGTAATAATATGTAGAAAGCTGAACTTCCATTCTTTATGCCTCTTACTTGAGCTTGAGCATGAGGTCTTTATTCTTAGGAATGTGGTAAAGGAAAGTGCCCAACATCAACAATTAAATACTAGCAATAATGTTGAAGAATCCTCTTCACTTTAGGCAAATACAATGTTAAACAGTCCAAATCAATGTTGAGACTTATCTACTTTAATCACCATTAATAGTTGATCATTCTCTTAACATAAAATAAAAATAAAAATAAAAAAAAGATCAAAATATTGAATTGCATGTCACTTCTAATAAAATTTATTCCGTTGATTCCGCCATTATCAATTCTCTCGTCCATTTTAGACTTTGTTTGGGACAATTTTTTATTGCTTTTCAAAGTGCTTTCTAATAAAAATAATTTTCTATAACTAGAAATTTTGTACTATAAAGCTTTTTAGAAAGCAATAAGAAAAAATTCAAAACAAAATCTTAATTTTGGTTTCGCTTGGGACGGCTTTCTTACTGCTTCTTAAAGCAGCTTCTACTACAAAAATTAAAATATTTTTACTAAAAAACTGTTAAGAAACAGCAAGAAAGTGATCCCAAACGAAGCCTTTAGACATTATCTCCCCTTCTTCTTTACTATCGTGGAAGTTCAACAATTGCAAGTTGAGTACTAATCTGACTCAAACTAATCCATGGAGCAGCAGAGAAACTCCTGACTCCTAAAATTGAGATGGAAAGGAGATTATCTAAAATTCCATTAATCTTGAAGTTGATGGTAGTATCAGCTGAAGTGATTTAACACCCTTTCAAGAGGATGTTAACTAACAAGCGAGTGAACAACACGATAATATAACGGTTATAAACGGTAACTTAAGCGCTCGGTACTTATTTTTTATTATTTAAAATTGAACGTACTAATTTATATCAATTTTACTAATATTTATACTTAAGTGCTCATCATTTTCTAATTTGTATTGATTTCTATTTGTATGTTTGCATCTTACACGGCTCACATTAGTCTGTTGGTTGGAGGCTTTTGGTAACAAATCTAGGAATTTTTATTAGGTCAGGACACCTGACGTAGCTCTACATCGAGACACCAATAACATGTCGCCACGTGCTCTTACTTTTTACTGCGCGGCCTGACGACGCGGCCCGGACCGGAACTCGGAATTGCTATATATGTTTGTGTATTGCTAGGTATTGCTCGGTATTGCTAGGTATTACTTGGCAATAACGAGAAATACCGCTCTTTCAAGACCAATACCGAGCAATACCTAGCAAAACCGGGGTATTGCTTGGTATTGCTAGGTATTGGTCTTGACAAAATGGTATTTCTCGCTACCGAGCAATACCTAGCAATATCCTAGTCTGCACAAATCAGCTAATACATGGCAATACCGGGTTCCAGTCAGGGTCGCGTCGTTGGGCCGCGCGGTAAAAAGTAAGAGCACGTGGCGACATGTTATTAGTGTCCGGATGTAGAGCTGCGCAGGTATCCTGACCTAATAAAAGTTCCAAATCTAGAGGTCTTGAATTTGAAGCTTGCATATATATGTGTGTGAGTTAACTTTAATGGGTCAAATTCCTTAAAAAAATATTTGCATCTTTAAAGTATAACAAGAAAATGAAAAGAAGTCTGGCACCCAAGAGAAGCCATCCAATTTACAAAAACTTAATTGATAGGTCAGATCATGATCATTATCCAAATCAAAATAGTTATAAGATCATAAAACAAGTAAGTCAAGCCAAATTGTGCCAATTTGGACATTGAAAAGGTTTCTCCAATTGTGCCAATTTGGGTTTATTTCCCCCATCTTAGGCCACATCTTTTTTCTCCTAGGATTCTTTTTGGTTTGGGTTCTCTTTTCGGTCGCCCTCTCAAAACGGATATGGCCACGGCTTCTGGTTCGCGACCGTCGTTGGCTCGTATTTTGGTAGAGCTTGATGTTACGAAGAAACATGCGGAGAAAGTTTGGGTTGGATCTGTGGAATCGGGATATGCTCAAACGGTGATTTTTGATGAAATTCCTTTTTTTTGTTCTCATTGTTTTTCTTTAGGACATTCTAAGGAATCTTGTTCTATTTTACATCCTAATCGGATTGTTCCAAAAACTGGAAATTCTCATTGCAATTTGCCGGGGGAACTGGAACAGGTAGCTGTTACTTGTCCTAATGTTGAAGTGTTGATTGAGTCGAATGTGAGGGAGACGGAAGAGCCGGTTGTTGATTCTGGTAGGCTGTTGGATTCTTTTCGTGAGGTAGATGGTATGTTGGATAATATTAGAGAGGATGATGATAAGGAGATCCGGTGCCTCCTGTGGGTGCTGGGTGCGTTCTGCATGTCTCTTCTGTCTCTCATAATTTGGTTAATGTGCCTGTAAGTTTTTTGGAATCCGATACTA